CGCGCACCCCGCGCCCGAGCTCCGCGCTGCAGCGCCCGCCCTCCGGGCTCCCCGGCTCCGCGCGCCCGCGAGCCCCGCTCGCTGTCCAGGGGAACCCCGGCCAGACTGGCTGGCAGGAAGAAAAGACTTAAAATTGGAAAATAAATAAACAAAGCGCACAAACCTCTCCTTGTTGCCTCTGCGGCGAGACGGGAAGCCGAGCAGCCGCCCGCCCGCCCGCCTCGGGATTTTTGTTTGGTTTTCGTTTTTTCGCCGGGTACGAGGAGTCCCCCCCCTTGGGGGCGCTGCTAGCGAGATGTAGCCCCCCTGGGTGCACTTCCTCCGCTCCCAGCGCCCTCCCGGGAGGACCTGAGCTCTCTAATCCCGCAGCAGCAACGGGGCTGCGCCAGGACCCCTAGTGCAGGGCTCCGCCTGGGTTTTTCTTTTTTTTTTTTTTCTTGTCTTTTTAAGAGAGGGTCTCACTATGCACTCCAAGCTGGCCTTGAGCTCACTTTGTAGCTCAGTCTAGTCTGGCTTTGAACTCGCAGTAGTCCTCCTGTCTCAGCCTACCGAGTGCTGGGATCACAACCCAGCTACAAATAGAATTCTCAAAGGTTCTAGCAAGTCAAAAGCCACACTGATCATGGGTGCCAGCTCCTGCAGCTTGCAGAAAACACTGAAGCAGCCGAGCTCTGCTCCCTAATGCCCCTGCAGCCTTGTCAGCATAATGCTGGTACCCCCCACAGGGCTCAGGGCTCCCGCCTCCAGCTCAGGCCTACTGGGCCTACATCCCAGCGCCCCTCATTTGCCTGTGCCCTCCCACTTCTCCCAAATACGAGGTCCCTCGGAGCACTGGCTCCACATAAATTTGAAACAGCTTCACACTCACCAGATGTTTTTGCCTGGATCGCCTCAGTTTACGGCTCCTAAAATAGTTTCTTGCATAGAAACTATACCTGCTTTTTCTCAGGCTTCTCAAGTGCTCTGTTTTTGTTAAACAAAGCTAACCTCACTTTGTCCGTGTTTTATGGGGGGCTTTGTTTGGTGGGGGGTTTTTTTGTTTTTGTTTCTGTTTTGGTACCAGGAATCAAACTCAGCACACCTTGTAGTTGCCAGGCAGGCGCTGAGCCATCTGTGCTCTTAAGGTATAGTACATTTAGGTCTCTTCAGATCTTAAAGAGAATAATCTACCCAGTACGCTCTCCTGTAGCACCAGTGTCTCTCGTAACGAGAACATACCAAGGTAGGGAGTAGGGCATGGTGGCCACACATGTAAGTCCCGCACTCAGGACGCATTCAAAGCCCAGCCTGGGCCACAGGGTGAGCCCCTATCTGATGGAAAAAAAAAGACCAAGTCGATGTATCAGGTTAGATCTTTTTCTCATAAATGTGAATTACTTCACAGATCCTTTACATCGGCAGTATTTTGCAAGCAGTACTTCAGCCATCAGCAAAATACTGCATTCAAAACAAGGCACACATCATACCTCACATCAACACACCGGAACATCGTGGAAAGTGTACTGAATAAGACAACATGCGATTATTTTTAACTTTGATAATCTACAATAACTGAAGCCATAAATCAGATTTTGTAAAGTTAGGAACATACCACTTTACATCTGCCCTGACTGCTTGAACTGATGACAGTTTTAAAACAATTGCTTGGCCAGGCCTGCTGAGCCAGCCCTGCCCGCGTCCTGCCCCCAGGCACAAGGACCTGGCAATTGAAACTGGGCGTGGTGGCACGAGCCTGTAATCCCAGCTCTTAGGAGCCTGTAAACAGGCGGATCACTATGAGTCCAATCTTGTAGTGAGACCCTGAACACCCTGTAGACCTTTCCCTAAAGTACAAAAAATAAAATGTAAAACAATTGCTTGAGTCAAACTGCATGGCAGGCCCAAAATGTTCACTTATTTTCAAGTTTTCTTTCCCTTGGCAAACTCGGTCCATGTTTGCCGAAGCCAACTTTCAGTGATCTTCCTGCCTCAGCTTCCCAAGTGCTAGGGTTACAAGTGTGGTGACAACAGACCCTGGCGGGACCTCTCCTAGGGTGTACTGTTTTATGTGTGCACAAGATGCCCGTCAGGGTCTTCTAGGTCTCTGAAACGAAAAATCTGAGGGGTCTCACTAGGCATTCCAGGCTGGCCTCAAATTCACACAACCCTCCTGCCTCAGCCTCCCAAGGGCCGGGCTTACAGACTCTACCTCCACAGCAGCGCAGCACAGAGGACGCTTTTCTGTCACCATCCGAAGCATTCCTCAGAGAGCCCATTGGAGAAATGCGGGGAGAACCGCACGCTGATTAGAATTATGCAAATAAAAAGCTCGGTGGCAGGTGTAGATGAAACATTTTCAGAGTCCTCCAACGCCTGTGCACTCCCACCAATGTGTATGTTAGCAATCATCCTCGGCTGCGCTCTGCATCGCAAAGAAGTGCACTGGCCTGCCCACCCGCTCTTGAAGGCCACCACTTCTGCTTCAGCGGGGCTTTCTGACGCTGCTGTGCACACCCAACCGTCAGTAACTGTTCCGTGCTGTAGCTGGTGCATCGCGGCACGTGCCCAGCATGGAAGGAAAAGCTCGCAGGGGCCCTGCTCTTCCCACCTACCGTGGGGACAGCGGGAGTGAGGAGAGGAAGCAGCCTGGGGCGGGGTGGGGCGGGGCGGGGCGGGGCGGGGCCCCCTTGGCAGGTCCCTTCCTGAGCAAGCAGTGGAAACCTCATTCAGACATTGCAGCCCCTTGGGCCTGGGAGATGGCTCAGTAGAATAAGCATGCAAGGGCCACCGTTCAATCCCCAGTTCTGCCAAAAAGAAAAAAAAAAATCACAGCCCCATCCAGTGTGCTGCGGACAGGCACTGGGCACGTCCAGGTTCCCACAGGCTAAGGGGAGCAGCTGGACAGAAACTGGGGGACAGGTGCGGACTTAGCAGCCAGGCCAGATCTCCGTGAAGCGGTCCCCTCCAGTGCTCCCACCTTGCCTTATCTTTGACTATTTCAATGACACTTAGGAGGCTGAGGCAGGAGGATCACAGCAAGTCTGAGATTCCCCAGTCAGTCCATTCAAGCCTTGTAGTGAGTTCGAGGCCGGCCTAAACTACTTAGCAGGTCCTATCTTTAAACAAACAAATGAATAAATAAGTAAATAAATGTTTATGTTATTAGTGCACAATGTAGTTCCATTATTAATTATATCTACCCTTGAGATGATGGAGCTCTAGGCCCGCCTTTATTTACATGAACAAAAACACATGCATACATTCAGAAAACACCACATAGGAAGCTCTTCATTTACAAAAAGGAAATCAATGTGCATGAAAGGGAGTGCTCTAGCGAATCCCATAATTAAAGACAATATAAATTGCCAGGCGAGGTGGCACACACCTACAACCCCAGCGCTGGGGAGGATGAGGCAGGAGGACCGGAGGAGTTCAAGGCCTGCCTATGATACATGGTGAGATCCTGCCTCACAAAAAAACAAGTGTGACCTCTGTAAGGAATGTGGTTGAGGGGGACACTTTTCTGGGACTTCCTGAGTGTCGCACAGACGCTGCCCTCAGAGCGCTGCCTGTCTCAGGTGGAGCTGCACATTCTACCAGGACGCCGAGGCTAACCAGCTCTTCTTCGAGGGAGGCAGCGGTGAACTCCGTCCTCCCGCCAATCGCCAATCGGGGAGGTAGACAGCAGCCCCGCTGGGAAGCGGCGTGGCCGGCCTGGGACCGCGGCGTGTGGCAGCGGCCAGCGAGCCCTGCCGAGTCCAGGGCTTCCGCTCGGGGGTCTGCTGGTGGCAGCAGGGTTCCTTCCCTGTCCCTAACTCTCTCTCTAGCGATCAGCCTCTCGCAGCCTCGCGACAAGCAAAGGGCCAGCTCCTGCCACACCTTGAGGTGGCCAGGAAGGAGCAGGGAACCCGCGACACCAGGGCCTGCAGCCGGGGCCTCCTCCAGGCCGGCGGCCTGGCGGCGCGAACTTCACACAGCCGCCCAATAACCAACCGGGCAAATCGGAAAGCTGCGGGCAGTCCGGCAGGACGCGTCCCGACGACCGGCTGCCTTCCGCTAGCGGCTCGGTGCGGCGGCGTCTCTGGCACCCAGCGGGACCAAGGCGCCACGCTGCAGCGTGCAGGCCGCGCTCCGCGCTGGTCCCGAGCTCTGCTCTACTGTAGCCCTAACCATTATTCTGGTTTCTACCAATAAACGCCCTGAAGCCTCAAAGCAGACGCCTCATCCCATGGAAACAAGCTCAGCGCAAGAGTTCATCTCTCAACACACTCTTCTTTGCCTTTCTTTAAGCTACGCGCACACACCACCAGCAGGGAGCTCTGGGGCGAGCACGCGGCGCGACGCAAAGCGGCTGCCGGTCACTGGCAGGAAGAACTCCTCGCGTTCTCCTCCAGGCTGAGCAAAGTGGCCGTCCCCTGGCTCAGCCGCCCCTGTAGGTCACATGACCGCGCCCCTGGCCTGCTGCCCAAAGCTTTCGCTCTTGCACTCACATCTACACACAGTGCAATGCACGTAACATTGGAGTGAAACCACAGAGTACGTGCTCCCTCCAGGCACTCAGGAGCCTGAGGCAGGAGGCTCGCCACGAGTTCAAGGCCAGCCTGGGCTACATGGTGAGACCAGGCCAACCTGAGCTACAGAGCAGGACTCTGTCTCAAACATAAAATACATGTTCCTATGAAATATTCTCTCTCTACTTGTTTTCGCATTTTTGTTGTTTTTCAACTTTTTAAATCTTTTATTTGTTAATGTGGTATAAGGTCTCACTATGCAGTTCAGACTCACAGTGATCCTCCTGTCTCAGCCTCCTCGGCGCAGGGATTATAGGAGTGCACCACCACACCCGGTTTCAGTGGCCAGCATGGCACGTGGTATCAGGGATCGAACCCAGGTGCCTGACAAGTGCTTAGACCATCAAGCTATCTCCCGAGCCATGTTTGCTTTTTTTTTTTTTTGTTTTTGTTTTTGAGACAAGGTCTCTCTATATACTTCAGATTGTGTGGCCCACCTGGCCTCAAACTTGAGGCAATTCTCCTGCCTCAGCCTCCCACGGGCTGGGATTGCAGTTGTGCCACCATGCCCAGCCTGCCTACTTGTTCTAAATAACTCTGGACATCAATACAAGGTGACCTAGCTCAAACCTGTTAGCCGCCACAGCAAACTGTATGAAATGAGCCCAGCACTGCCTCGGCAGGGTACATTTTCAAGATGTTTTGTGATTAAAACAAGTCCCAGTAAGTGTGCACCTTTACAAGTTCAGCAGTTTGTTTGCTACAACCTGTTAGAAGTGGACTGACTGGATAACAGAAGTGGCCGTTCACATTTTGTTGTTGTTTTGGGGTTTTTTTGTTTTGGTTTGCTTTGGCTTGGTTTTTTTTTTGAGAAAGGATCTCATTATGCAGTTCAGGCTGGCCTTGAAGTCACTATATAGCCCGGGTTGGGCTCCAACTCACAGCGAATATCCTGCCTCAGCCTCCCCAGGGCTGGGATTGCAGGCATGTGCCACCTATCATTTTATACATCAACCGTTCTGAGCCTACCTTATTCCCGCCAACATTCCTAACAGTAGATACTTCCGGTCTGTGGTTTGGTTTGATGTGGTTTTTCCCTAAACAGCCAGATTCACCTTAGCCGGTGTGGTGGTGCACACGTGTACTCGCAGCACACAAGGCTGAGGAGGAAGGGTCACCCTGAGTTCGAGTCCAGGCTGGGGCAGGCAGCGAGCTCAAATCTCGCCGGAAGTCCTTAGCTCGACCCCGACTCCGAAAATGAAAGCGGATTATCTCTCGTTTGCATGTCTTCGGTGCGCTCGGCGATTTGTACGCATCGTGGCCTCGCACCTTCCCTGACGCTGGACCAACCTCAGCTCACAGCGTAAGGGCAGCTCTGCTCCGGCTCACATCTGGGCCCACATCTGCACCGCGCGCCCCCTGCAGGGCTCCGGCCCTCTCGCCACCCCCCCCCCCC